TAGTCGCACAGGCAGCGCCATATTATTAACCCCAGTATGCACTATAAACTAATGCATGTTGATTATTTTACCTGTGAAATGACAGCATCCCACCACTAGGTGAAGATATGCACAATTCGCTGTGTAAAATCTCCATTTTGCTATGTTTTTGCCACCTACTTTTGCTGTGGCCCAGGTGTACTGGGAAGTGGAAATTTCCCACTTACAAGTTGTAAATTTAAACAGAAAYRCCCCTCCAGTGGAAACTGACAGTAATCTTCAGAATCTGATCTGAGCAGCTGTTAGCTGGACTCTTCCATGAGAATTTATTCCTGATTCTCCACACTAAGATTGCTCTGATCACTGTCTACTGCAGGTAAGATACTGACTCGTCAAAAGTCTGCACATTCAAACCGCCCCGTTAAAATGACAAGATCGAACCTGCGATGAGCTCAAACAAAATCAGAAAGGCTAAATGAGCTGCAGTATGTGGGATCATCWGATTTTTGTGCTTTAGTTGTGAAGAGGCACAGAGAAAAGTTAACTAAAGTTAAAGTTGTGTTTTTGTACCTTTACAGTCGTTTTTCCCAGAACAGAATCATCCTGTCCGTCTGATTGACTCACACATAACAACTTCATGTTCTTTGCACCGTCCACCTCAAAAGACAGCTCCTGTTTGGAAAAAAAGGACCTTTATTACCACTGGTGATGTTAGAAACAGACTGTTTTAATGTTCTGAACTACCCTGACAGATCCCCTGCCTGTGCAGTTTTTTTAAGGAATCGTACACAAACCTCATCCCAGTGTGGGCTGAGGCTGCTGATAGAGGARTGTGTCTGAGTCTGATTGTCGTAAAACTCATAGCCATCCACTTCAACGCACACATAAGCACCTGAAAGAAGCAGGGGAAAGCCAATTTAACTCCACAACTCTCTGTCAGATGWATTTATGAGTTTTGTAGTGCAAGTTAAAATGTGTGACACTTACAAACTGGGTGCTGCAGACCAACAGCTGAATGAATTGCCACACTTAAAGTGCCGTTTAGCAAATCTTCACCATCTTCTGATAAAGACAAAAAAAAGCTTTTTCTAGATTAAAGTACTAACAATAATAATACAGAGTTAGYTGAAGGTTAGTGGAGGCAGGATGTGACTCTGGGGTAGAGAATGAGGGCAGAGGAAGCWGCTGTACCAGCTGTGATGCTGTGAAGAGGTGGCTGCTGGGTCATTCTCAGTTTCACACAGGCACAGGTGAGAGTGAGCAGGTCAGGCGGGACAGTTTCAACGACTGAACAAAATGACAGATACAAGAAACAAGTTAAGAACATGAAAAGGTCTAGTTTGGAACAGGCTGTGTCCAAATTCAGGGGCTGGGTCTAGGTGGGCTAGGTCCTTGGTAGACCGTGAAGACCAGAAAAAAGTGGCTGTGAATTTGGACCCTTCTGCTTTATTCCCACCCTCACCCCAGCATAYTCAATATTTGAAGTACTAACAGACTAAAGGTGCACATCTGTTTCACTATACCAGCTCATTTGATATCTGATAAGAATAATATTAAACAAATGTGTCTATACAAATAACAAAAATAATAACAACACAACTGCTTGAAACTTTTAATTGTCATACCACCAGATTAAACAAAAACTGTACTCTTTTCTCTTTCTTCGTCCGCCATTACGGGCAAAAAATAATAATCTCCGGTCAGCCCGCAATGCATTATGGGATAGTGTGGGCCGAGAAAAAGAAAGATGCATTTGTCAATATTTGGATATTATTATTTTTATTATTATTATTTATTTAACCAGGTAGATCTCATTGAGATTAAAAAGAGACCTGGCCAAGAACAGCAGCAGCACACAGACATTACCAAATCCAAAACAGATATTAAATTACAATTAAAGACATCATGATAAATAAAAGAAAAACAAGAGACACCCATAAAACGTAAGATATGACTAATATTATTAGTTATTATTATGTAATATTATTATTATTACACAGATATTAGGTTTACCAGCTGGTAAGAAAAATGTTTTGCTAGTTCAAAGGGAAAAATAATCAAAATCTAAATCTTTTCTGCTCAAAATCATGTTTTTTTGTAGCTATAAAGGGCTTAAAAAACATTAAGATTATATTTCGAATACTTTTATAAATGACCCGTAGATAAGGTATTTATGTATTTTATTTTGACTTAATACACTTGTTGTAAACGTGTTAATYGATGCACYATAGCTGCCTATTTCTCCACAAAACACTTTAGGACTTAATCCTTGGTTTGATGTGATTGGTCACACATGTCATTTTGATTTCTGCCATATTTGAGATTTGGGTAAAAATAAGTCCATATACAGTAGACATCATCTAGAAATCTTTGAGTTTAATATAATCTTCCTAATCTACCTTTAAATTGATGTTTTCTAACAGGTACATGCATGTATTCAGAAATAATCCCTTTTGTTTTAATTATCCTACAGTGAACTCACCRTCTGTGGTGAGTTTATAAATGGCTTCTCTCCATTCTTCCAGTTCATACAGGGAGGAGAAGAGCAAACAGTGACTCTACAATGACAAAAAATCAGGTTATTTTATAATGTGGGTGTTTTATCACTCAGGATTGTTTGTGAAAAGGTGTGTGTCGTGTACCTTGCCACTGGGGCTGTGCAGCTCTAGTATGTAAACCGGAGAGAAGGTGAGAAACATCAGCTYCATCTGTTCCAGTTTCTTCTTGTTCCGAGGAGCCAAAGTCCCAAACTTGGTACCTTTCTTTGTAAAGAGAAATGTTCATGTTTCACTCATCTGTCAAAAAGATTGCTTGTATCAGGGCTGGCCTGTGGCATAGGCAGTATAGGCAAATGGAAAGGGTGCCATCCATCTAGGGGGCACCACAAATGGGGATTGAAAAAATATTTAACAACTTTTTATCAGAGTTTAGTTGATTTAGTCTGTAGAATAATCACTGGTTATTCAGGTTTATGAAGGTAACTTATGCTTTGTTACTATATGAGGTGTTATAGGGTGCAGAGAATGTTTTGTAATAAAAAGATGTGATGGGCTTAAGGCTAACAACTGCTCAGAGTGTGAATAGAAAACAAAATTATGACAATGGACGTTTCAGTTCGGATCTCAAATAAAGTTCAGTTTAAAGTCTGGTTTTCAGTGTTCTACCTTCATAAAATTCTGATTTTATGTTTTATTAATCCCAAGAATTTAGTAAGATGCTCTTCAAATGGCTGGAAAATGCATGACTTTGAGTAGATATTTTACAAATTTTCCAGGGGAGTATACCATTGTACTCAGCTGGCACCGGTGCATGGCAGCCCCACCTCTGTCAGTGTGCCCCAGGGCAGCTGTAGCTGTAGAATGCCACCATCAGTGTATGAATGTGTGTGTGAATAGGTGAATGTCTGAAGTGTAAAGCACCTTGGGGTCCAAGTGGATTTGATAAGGTGCGATATAAGTTCAAGTTATTTACCATGTACCCCCCTAGAACTGCTTCACTCCACAGCTGCTCGTTAACATGAGCAGGTTAACGAGGTTGCCAGCAAATGTTGGCAGGTAGACTTTATATTGTTAACTATTTCGATTGGCCAACCTGGTTTGTAAAGATAAAAAGCAATATCAAAGACAAAACTATTTATTTTGGTATGTAAATGTATGTAAACTGAAGTGAGATTTAGAAAACTGCACTAGGAGTTTCCTGAAATCTTGCCCAGGGCACCAAATTGGCTAGGGCTGACCCTGGTTTGTTTATAAATATCTCCTCAGCTTCCCACACACACACACACACACACACACACACACACCGCCTGTTGCTGCAGCTGCTGCCGTAGTTGATACATCTTTGTCCGTAAGGTGTGGAGGCGAACGTTGGTGTCAGGCAGTCGCTCCTCATCTGCAGCCCAGCGGAGTTTGAGTCCGGCGAGAGGCAAATACCAGGAGTACCTGTACTGGTCCTGTTTCCTGTGTGAAAAATGTAAAGTTGTTTTTCAACACTTTCTTTTTTGTAGTTCTGACATGGTTACATGTTCGGTGCTTTTCAGAACAGTCAGATCCCACATTGGCAACCACATTTGCCACAACCCTACGTGTCTTGTGTCTTGTGAACTCACCCTCTGGCTGCATGTTTGAACCTGGTGCACAGCAGGAGATCGGTGTAAAGGAAGAGGTGACGCAGGCTGCGCACTCCTTCGCTCACATCCACCACAAAGCCGTCACGCATCAGCTGACGCCTCTGGTGGAGCACAAACAAACATGTTTTAAACCTACAGTCATGTTGATCAGGGTTTGGATTAGAGAGCCTCCTATGACTTTTTGGGATTCCACATGGCTCAATCTTTGGTCCCTTTCTTTTGATGTAACGTTCAGGGGATTGGAACTTTAAATATGGAGTAAAACACCCTCATCTCAAAAACTGCATACAATCAGAAGTGTGCCATCAGCAAGTACAGGTGAACGTTGTATTTAATATTCCTCTGGTTTCTTCAGGCACACATTGGCCAAGGGAAGACTCACCATGCCGTGACTGAGCGTGACCCCCCGTTTACTTTGCGAACTCTCGTTGACGCCAGACAGGAAGCTTCGTGACAATCTCAGAACTTCTTGCAAGGCTGTGTAATCCTTGTGCTCCACCGGCGTTGCCTTCAACAGGTCCTGCCAACAGCACAAAGAGTTTACCGAAAGAGCAGTAGACTGTAGACTAGCAGCTTTCTGGTGTGAAAATAATTTATAAATATAAACTGGTTCAAAGAGGAAGTCTGAGAGGTATAAATAAAAAGAAATCTTTGGTTTTCTCACCTGCAGTGTTAAAGTGGTTTTGGTTACTCTGTCCAAAGGTTTGTATAGTAGAGCTGGAAATGATAAAAATACCTTTAAGTATAGACAGGCTTAAATACTTCCAGTAAAACTGAAAATCTACTGTTCTTACCTTCTAATGTATATTTTGTCCGTGTTTTATCTGAAGTGTTTTTAGAAGTCAAACTCTAGAAAAAAAAGCACCAATAAATGAACCCYGATGCAACTCTTTTATAATAGTGTTTCTGTATTCACCTGAGAGAATGAGGAGTTTTTGGTACCTCTGCGATTGTGCGGAAACGAGGATCTGCCTGCGTGCACTTTCTGACAACTTCAATGGCTTTCTCATAGTTTTCAATGAACCCTCCATACAGACTGAGGTGATTTATCTGGAATAAATAAATAAAGTGACTGGAAATACGTAAAGCCTTGTCTTGTGTTGCACGCGTCATAAAATCACTTAATGAAAACATGCTGCTTTGACCTTCTTTTTGTTTTTCAATATGATGCATGTCTCAACACAATTGTGTTTCCATAAGTTAAAGATAAACAATATGATTCAGTGTCAACAGTGTTATAAGACAAAGCAAAGGAATGAACATGGGTTATCTTATTATCTTATTAATCAAGTGATTTCTAAATTTAAATGAAAATGACAATTCATCATTTCTGTACACTTTCATGTCACCATTAAAAAAACAAGGCTTAGGTTTATTAAAATTGCCAGAAAGTAAATATTAATTTCTGCTCTGTTAATCATCCATCCAGCCATYCATCTGTTCCTACATCCATCTAATAACATCCATCTATCTTTTCATCTATCCTTCTATCATCCATCCATCCAACCAACCAACCAACCAACCCAACCATCTATCTGTTCATCCATCCATCCATCCTTCCATCTGTTCATCCATCCATCCATCCATCCATCCATCCAACCAACCAACCAACCAACCATATATCTGTTCATCCATCCATCCATCCTTCCATCTGTTCATCCATCCATCCATCCATCCATCCATCCATCCATCCATCCAATCAACCATCCATCCATCTAGCTGTTCATCCATCCTTACATACATACATACATACATACATACATACATACATACATACATACATACATACATCATCCATCCATCTTTAATCCTTCTATCATCCATCCATCCATCCATCTGCTCATACATCCATCATCCATCCATCCATCCATCTGTTCATACATACATCTATCATCCATCCATCTATCTTTACATCTATCCTTCTATCATCCATCCATAAATCCATCCATCTGTTCATCCATCCATCCATCCATTTGTCATCTGACACTTGTTCCAGAGTTGCGTTTCAGCAGTTTGAACAGGGAGGCCCAGACCTCTCTTTCCACAATCTGTTCTTCCAGATCCTCTGGGAGGACTCTAATGTGTTCCCAGGCCAGCCAAGAGACAAAGTCTCTGCAGTGAGTCCWGAGTCTTATCTTCCCCAAGTTGGACATGGACACACCCTGGACATCTTCTTAAAGGTGTCCAGGGTGTTCTTCACTTGTGTTACACATAACATTTCTGCTTAACCAAAATGTCACATCATTGCCAAAAACCACAGAACAGAAACTGGARCACAACAAAATAAAGCTTACCATTTTCAGAAAGAGGTCTCCCACCTCCAAATCAGAGTTTCTGCATGTCGTTGTTGTTTTCTCATCTGGACTGACCTCTGTTTGGCTCTGTGCATTCAGACGGGCCTTCAGACCCGAGCAGAACCTTTGGTGAACGTCTCTGAGCTCAGGTACATGGTAGAAAACGGTCTGGACCTCCTGACTGGACAACACCGGCTGGGAAGTCCCAGCTGAGGCCCGCAAAGCCTTCATGGGCTACAGAGAGATGTTCAAAATGGAAAATGACAGAAAAAAATTTTAATTAAAAAAGTGTTCTTTAAACCTAGCTAAAGCTCGAATATTAGTTAAAAATATATTTGTCTACTGATTGTGTGAACACACTGAGGCAAATCTGAAACATTTCCATTTCATCAGAAACTGAAACCATAACAACAAAACTTACATTAAGAGGCAGGGAACCATGAGCAACATTTAAAGCAATCAATAAATAAAATACAAGAGTTTTATTTCTCGTATCGCGTGTCTTATTTTTTCTTTAAAAGTCACATCTTATACGTAGGAATGAGGAAACAGAAGTTGTTGCCATCATTAGTAGCACGAGCAAAAACAAAAAACAAAACAAAAAAAAACAAAGAAGAAGAAATGCCAATTAAAGGACTCAGGCACATGTTATTGCACAAATCTAACATTCCCTGCCTTAAAGAGGAAATATTACACTGATTTCTATTTTTAGATATTTGTTGTTAAAAACAGTAAACGTGGCCATTGAGAACAGGAGAGAAGCAAAAAGGTGGTAACAAGCTACAAAAATCCGAACTGTAAAAATTCAAAAGTGATGAAACAGATATGATAAATAATCCATGATACACACCAGTGGCAGATGCTGGTATTTCAAGAAGAGGAAGCTCAGTTTCGGCCTACATAATAAAATGTGTGGGTTTATAAAGTCTGCCTTCCGTTCCTTTTCAAGAAAACGATCTGTGACCCTGTCACAGATCATTTTTTTAGTTTATTGTATTTATTTATTC